TCCTTCAAACAACAGTCAGTAAAGAAAGCAGTTGTTGGTACGGCGATTGTTGCGTAGTAATGTCAACCAAAGTCACCAGAATGCACATTGGGTTCCCATGTATGGGCTGTATCCCTATCCCCAAGCACACACACACACACACACTGCACGTGAGCTACATAGCTATCACAACTTCCCAAATAAAGTACAAGATGCTGCGCAGGGTATTCGCTCCCCAGAGCTCTAGTTGTTCTGGTTGACGATATCCACTGGCCTTGTGTATACACTTCGCAACATCCAAGGCAAGTTGTAACCCTCTGCTGGGTCCTTTTTAACATGGACCAGACAAACAAAGTGGCATTGCAAGTAGATGCAGAATGTTCCCGCAAGCCCGGACTGCATGGAACACCAGTCAGCAAACTACTTACGATAGTTTCCGAGTGGCTTTGCTCAATGTGGTTACTGTGCTGGTTCTATGCAGTTGCTAATCCTACATATGTCTGGTACAATTGGTTGGCTATGTACTAGCAAAACCTCAGCTTTTCATGTGTTGACAGCGTGGTCTTGAGGCAAAGGTTAACCAAACAACACGACTACAACCAGGAGAACTCTTCTTTCTCCAAGGTAAAAGGAACTGCCCTGGGTGGGATTTCAAACCCACAGACACTCTGAACTCTACACAAGTGCTCTACCATCTGAGCTACCAGGGCAACTCAGCAGGTAGGGGTTCAAATCTCAACACAAAGGCAAAACCTCAAACATACTGTTCTATGTCTCCTCACTTAGTATCTCAATACAAGCCAGGGCACTTACTACTTGCAACTTAGACACTTAGAGGTCTTCTCAATTAGAGTGAATTTTCATTAATCATGAGAATTCTGTCACATCAAAGTAGTAGTAAAAATACTTGCATTTTTACAGGGAGTAAAAGAGTGAGTACGGGGGTGCGTGTAGACGTCGATCAGCCGTCTGACACATACAGTTTGTTGTTGGGTTCAAGATGACGTGAAAGGACAGAGTGATCACCTAGCACTAGCAAAAGAAGAGAGAGAGACAAAAACTAGAACTAGCAAGAAAGGTTCGCGAAATCGATCGTGGAAACTCTTTGTGCACAGTACACATTTCTTATAAATAAGAAGCATGTAAACTAAACACGTGTTCAGGTGGACAACGTATGAGCGTGTATAAACACAAAATTTTGAGCGGAAACAATGACTAGGTTGGCAGTGACGCTAAATCAACTTGCACACAGATGCGCAAATAAATATCGTGCGAATATCGGATGGTATAAAAGGAAGGGAGAAAATATATGAAGGATAGTTATGGTGAGCACGCTAGCAACTCCGGACCCATCCCACAATCCCTATATTGTTGCCTGGTGTGGCATGATACGCATGCATGACACTCTAATAATGGTATGGTTACACATTAATTTGCTTTTCCACTCAAACAACAAATGTGTACCTACGTATAGGTCTAATTGAAACACACGTAGTAAAATATCCTGCAAGAGGATGGCATAAAAAGAATGGAAGACAAGATAGGGATGGGATACATGATGCACAGTTAACAAACAGTTTATTTCACCACCAAAGCACATAAGTGTACAAAGTTTCATTGTTAGAGGACCCAGCATAAGCAGGTTATAGGAAAAACAGCACTTAATTGCCTATTGCCTAATAAGCAAGTTATAGGCACAAGCAACATTTTTAATGCCTGAGGCTGTTTGTTGTTGTTTACAAACTTGTAATTTCTGTTTCGATGAACTCTCATCATGGTACATCAGTGTTCCAAGTTTCGTTGTTAGAGGACCCACCATAAGCAAGTTATAGGCACAAACACAGTTTACATGTTTTTATTGCCTGAGGTTGTTTGTTGTTGTTTACACACTTGCATTCTGTTACTAATAATGGGTTGTATATGTGTACGAAGGTTTATAACTCTGGGTATTAGCTTTACCTAATTGGCACACTTTATTTGTCTCTATCGTAATGTATGGCCTGGGGCTATTTTTTTGCTATTTGTTGTTTACATGTAAACCAAATTGTTTACGAAGAAATAAAAATGCTCTTGCACGACCTGTCATGGATTCCAATATCTGTGCAAAGTTTCATCTCCATATCCTCCATATCTTACCCGGTTTTTGAGATAAGCTTGTTGAAACTGAACAACAACAACAACAACAACAACAACAGGAAGAAGAAGAAGAGAATGTTGAAAAAACGGACTTTCTTGAATAAATCAATTACCGATTATGTGGGTCAAGCCATTATATAGGTATATACATGTTCTTTTTGACGATACGGATCACATTGATGTCAGGAGTGGGAAACAGAAAGTGAAACGTAGAAATCTCAAATGTATTGACAAAATGCAGGACAACATGTGTCATCCCTATATACTAAGTACTACCATACTTAGTGATCTCCTGTGTGCTACTGTTGGAGCGAAGACGACATTTTAAAGAAAAGTGCCTGAGGCTATTTGTTATTGCTCAAACGAAATGTGGTGATGCAATATGCATGCGCACCAAGTTTCATCTCCATGCGTGCTACCGTTAACAAGTTTGAGGATTGAAGAAGTAATTTTCTAGAAAAGTGCCTGAGGCTATTTGTTGTTGTTCAAACAATATGTGATCGTCATGGAAATGATGTTTTACGCATGTGTACCAAGTTTCATCTCCATGTGTGGTACCGTTAACAAGTTTGAAGAGTGAAGAAGCAATTTTAAAGGTAAGGCTATTTGTTGTTGTTTACAAACATGTAGTCAAACATGTAGTCGTCATGGAAATGATGTAATACTCATGCCAAGTTTTGTCTCCATGCGTGCTACCATTAGAAAGTTTTGAGAATTGAGAAGAAGTAGTTTTAAAGAAAAAAGCCTGGGGTTGTTTGTTGTTGTTTACAAACATGTATTGTGATTTTGGTACTAGTTGATTGAGTACATTGTGTTTTAAAAGTTTCATTTACATAGCTCTTATTATTTGTAACTTACACTGTCACATGTGTGCCCATTATAATGTATTGCGTGGGGCTATTTGTTGTTGTTTATAGTAAACAATGTTGTTTACAAAGAAATAAGTATGACCAGTGTCTTCGGGTAACGGATATCTACATTTTTACAAAATTTCATTACTATATATTGCTTCGTTGGGGTGTTGAATCTAAGAAGAAAAAAGGAGGCGGATCAGGAGGATGAAGATACCTTATCATAGCCCCATATTATATCTATGATGCTAGGTACCATGCCTGTACTAAGTACTATATACCGTACTTAGTAACATCTCATACGTACTTCACCTAGGCAACACTACAGGGATCATGTGACGGGTTCGGAGTGTTTGTCTGTTCGTAAACCACGCTCCATGTAATAATCTATCCCTCTCTATCCCATATTTTTTATATACCATCATCCTTTTTTAAAATTCGCAGGATAATTTTATTTACTCGTCTCCTCTCATAATAATGGTAATGGTAATTGATATTGCATTGATAACAGACTACAAAACCAAAAAAAACTGTCACGAGGATAATGATGATATACATGTGCACAAAGTTTCATCTCAAACATGTTAAATGCCACGAACAAAAGTGCCTGAGGCTATTTGATGTAATCAAAGTCAATGTCATGAGAACTAAACAGCTCACTCTATCACAAATAGACAGAAAACGAGAGAGAGAGAGAGAGAGAGAGAGGGAAGGGACGACTTCTAGAGGGCTTCACACCTACATAAAATAAACACAGCAACACTCACACAGACCAAAACTCTGACATTCACAACATACGACTAGCTACACATGCGTGAGCTAAGATGGTATGCAACACAATATGTAAATGGACTATCAAAAGGATGAATAATGACGTAATGCACATGTATACCAAGTTTCATCACAATTTGTTCTGTATACCATAGAGAAGTGATAAGAAAAGTGCCTGAGGCTATTTGTTGTTTACAAGTGCCATGGTTATACCTAACTCCATATATACTACAGATATGAGATACATTGCCTGAGGCTATTAGTTGTTGTTTACAAACATACATTATTGTGATTCTGATGTTGTGGTGACTGAACACATTATACAGAGTCTCATTCACATAGCTCTTCCCATTTGTGAGTTACACTAACACACGTGCCCTTTATAATGTATTGCCTGGGGCATTGTTTACATACAAATAAGTATGACCATGCACATCCGGTTATAGATATCTACATGAAGGAGGAGATGATGAACAAACTCTCTATATATCATAGCCCCATACATCTATGATGCAAGGTATACACCATGCCAATCCCTATTATACGTAATAGTTAATGTACGGAATTCAGTGCTGTGCGCGTAATAATGGTACGAGGGGCGTGGTCGAGATAGTCCTACAGCACGAGGCGCAGCCGAGTTGCTGTATGATCGATCGAGACCACGTTCCGAGTACCATTATCACGCGCACAGCACGTGCTTCCGTACATTAAGTAATTTATTGTATGCGTGGGCGATTCAAAAGGCGGCGACCAGGAAAACCGGCGTTCAGAACGGAAGAGAGGACAAGAAGCTCGCGGAGCGCCCTTCCAGCAGCGGTTTGTGTCACCGTCTGAGTCGAACTCCGTCTACGAAAGGCCGCCGAGGCGTCATTCCCGCAAAGCGTACACTAGTCCGCGGATATAGTACAGTTCGTGTGATATAGTACAGTTCATTCAAAAACCGTTCTGTATGATGAATATAGTACTGGCAGCGCCTTTGATTCGCCCACGCAAAATACAATAATAAGTACTACTGTACTATGTGTAGTTGTATCACTGCATGGGTATCAAGTGGCAATTTATGTGCACTGTCTTGTTGTATCCTTTGACTTTGCCGTCTTGAAAGGAGTATCCGCTCTTATCACATGCCCACTCCAAGATAACATAAGGGACTGACGAGCAATAAATCTCTGGAGCATAAGCTCTATGTACTACCCATGAGACCTGACGATGAGCAGTTCAATAATCTGAGATCAATGCAAAATGGATCAATGGCAGCCTCCTCACTTGTTCAATAGTCTACCTGCAACTCAATCAAGGACTGTAACCCTCGCTGCGCATGAGCCTGGAGTATGTACACGTGGATTGTGTTTTCTGGGAGTGGGCCTGTGACGAGAGCGGATACTCCTTTCAAGACGGCAGAGTCAAAGGATACAATTAGGCCCACCATGCACAGTGGGTACAATGAGCGAACGATGAGTTGTTAATTTTGACCTCATAACTCCAGGGGCAGAGTCGTGCACACAATTGTGCATCAATGCGTCACTAATACATATAATGTTATGTGCAGAGGGGAGTAGTGGCAAGAGAACTTGAGGTTACCAAAACCAGGGGCTCACCACTTCCTGTTAGTATAGTTGCAGTACTACCGCAGATCATAGACCCCAACATGTTTTATTACCCCTTGTGTGTGCAAGTGCAGTAAAATCGTCTGATCTCATACATGTGCTTGAGTGAGTTTGAAGGGCAGCTAAAGTATCATAAACAGCAAAAAAAATGCTCTTGGAATCTAGGCCACTGGCCAAAACGGCTATAAATCGAGCTACAAACATTAGGTCTTTTGGCCACGCCCTACCAATCAACGTGCAAACATACCTACTGTGCTTTCTGCACATGTCTCAACAACTTGGTAACGAGGTAGAAAGGCAAGGCAAGGCAAACAAGTCAACTACACACCAGGACAGCTCTGAAGAAGAGCTGCCCTGGGTGGGATTCAATCTGGTAGTGTAACTCAGCTGGTAGGGCTTCAAATTCTTTAACACAACACAAGGCAAACCTCAAACCACTGTGCTATGGCACAGTATACTCTCAGTATACACAATACTGTGCAGGGAATGTGCTCTTCAGAGCTCTAGTCATACATTGTCCTTACCATTTCTCTTTCATTTGGGGTGCATGTGCCCTAGCTACCTGAGTATCAATGTGAATGGTTCTGCCCTTGTTGGGGTACACAGATGGAGTAAACAGCTTAGCTTGGCCATATTATGTGTATGTATATTTACGCCCCCTCACCAACACACACCGCCAAATCCTGTATGCAACGTACCATCCTTCCTGCCTCTAAAAGATGTCCCGACTACCTCTTTGACAGAGGATGCTCCACCAACTCTAGCTACGTGACACTGGAAAGAGCTCATTAAAAATACTGGAGGGAGGGAAATCAACCAAATTCTAGTGCCTAGCAATATATAGGGCACTCTTTACGATTGAGGGCTTCCTAATGTCAACAACTAGGTGAAAGCAAAACAATCAACTACACCAAGGACAACTCGTTTTCCATGCAAAAAGAAGAGCTGCCCTGGGTGGGATTAGAACCCACTACACTCTGCAGTCTATTATACCAACTCGGTCAGCTGCCAGGGTAATTCAGCTGGTAGGATTCGAATTCTTTAACACAATACAACACAAGGAAGAGGCAAACCTCAAACCACCGTGCTTTGGCACAGTATACTCTCACTTAGCATGCATAATTATGTGTACTGGCTTTGAAAAGGCATTGTCCTGGGTTGCATGAATTGTCCAACTTTTCACTTGCCTATAGCTTTCATACTTCACTTTTGATTAATGCCGCAATGCAATGCAGAGGACAATAAGAATATGTAGCTACCGTCTGATTTCCTTGATTGCTGGTGGGTTGTAGTGTAGCTTTGCTCTTTCTCTGCAACTTCCACATCCCTCTCTCGAGCTGGGCCACTTCACTCTCTCTCCAGTTCCCTCTTGGTACTATAGTGTTGGTAAAGAGGAGAGCATGAACAGACAGGCAATGCAGAAAGTGCCCTTTACTCCGAACTATAGCTCTTATGTCACACATAAGGTATGTATAAACTCTCCAAACACATGCCCTTGTACTGTATATACGTTACTACCCTGCCTGTATATCCATTATTGGCGAGCGGGAGCGAGCCAGCCAACCTAGTCGTTCGTTCGAGCGGATTTACGTCCGTACGTATAATATACGTCGATCCGTCGTCGTATATACGTCGTGTAAGTGCGCATGCTCGGTTTCGTTACGCGCTCTCCGCCGCCTGGCGATTATGCTTGGAAAGAAGCTAGGATTGCCCCAATATAGCTAACCGCTGAAACTTGACAAATTGTGAACAACACAACACTGCTATACTTTCCCTTTGAGGGGGAAGCTTCACCCCTCCTCATCTTAGTAGTACAGATTTCCGTCTAAGAGATGGCTAAATATGACAACAAAACTGTGGCTCATCCTATTGAGAGCATTCCGCAGTATAATATCGATCGGCCAACACTTTAGAGCTCTAGCTATGTGGATCTATAAGGTTGAGTAACTGGCGAAACGCTGGACCTATATATATACGCCGCAGATCTATTCCTACGCGCTGAGCTATGGTCCCTTCCCAGGCCACGCCAGAGGCCCCGGCTCCCTGTCCGGGGGAAAACGCGCGGGATGAGATGTGTTGTTGCATGTCTAGCTAGCTACACCTTCGGGTGGCGGCTTTCGGAATCCTTCTATGCATCTGTTTGCACCGCTTTCGAGGCTCCCCCACGCGTGTATTATGTGTGTGTCTACGTCCTTCGCCCAGGAACGACTTGCAGCGGCCACCCCGCCACGGCCTTTCCCGTATTATATACTCGTGTGCATGCGTGCGCGAAATAATTGTGCGTGGGCGATCTCTGCGATCTACTAGTGGAAATTGTTGGCGAGCGGGAGCGACCCAACTTGGGATTTTCCCGGGCTGCATAACGCGCCGTCAGCGCACAGCTTTCCTTTCGTGAAGCAAGACAGATCTACCTGTCGCCGTTGCATGCGTATCAGAACGGTGAGCAGGTGAGCAGAACGGCACTTTCAGCTCAGTCGTGGTCCACCAGGCAGCACGAGCAATGCTAGCGTATTTGCAAGTTGCACCTTGGAACCATGAAGATTGGGAAGAGGTACAGCCGCGGTCAGTCACCGAAGGTTGCAGCGCATGCCGTCGAATGGAGGAGAGTTCTCTAGCTGGCTAGATCGATCGGCGCGAGGCTCCGTGTGTGAAAATGTGTAAAAATTTGGAAATACTTTCGGATAAAAAGAAGCGCGTACAAAGCCGCGCATGCGAACTTACACGACGCCGGTCGTATTATTATTATTCCGCTCGAACGAACGACTATGTTGGCTCGCTCCCGCTCGCCAACAAGGATCTTTGCGGGGAGACAAATGAGTCCTTGTGTGCTTGCGCGTGTTGTGCAATCTTATTGGAGGACCATCAGTACATACCAACCCTTGACGACTGAGGTAGTATATAGATGGACACAGAGACTGGTGGATTACGGAAGGTCTTCCTAAGCGGCTCTTTGTACTGAAGATTCGGTTATAGTTCACATTTTCTGAGCTTTTAACATAATAGTTCAGTATCAAACATGCAGTTGCGCCCACATCAAATATAGCTCGTAATGATACATGACATGATACAGCAGTATAATATTTTCTCAGGTCATGTGATGGTGGAAGCTGCGTGCTCTGGAGGTGGGCAGATTGGACATCTTGAACGAGAGCTGCTGCTTATTATATAGCAGTCAGGAGATTGCAGTATCACTGCATAGTGATAAAGGAATGTGAAAATAACGTTTCCCCTTACAATCAATTAATTAAACGTTAGTGAGAGGGGTGTCGACAACAATGCCTCTAATGTGTTCTTTGCCCCCTCGAAATTAATCACTAAAAAGTGAGTGGGAGGGGTGTCGACAGGGGTGAAAGAAATGCAGCACAATAAACAACCAACAACAAAATGCACCTTTGTGAGGGTGAAGGGGGAGGAGGCAGCGATAATCCATCATCTGTGGATTGAGAGGCAAACCCAATGTTACTGTTTGTTCTGTTAAGGACACTTTTCTTGATAGGGCTTCCCCTAGCTGGCTAGTTATCGCCTCGGCCCAGGCCACATGCTCTGTTATCATCATGTGTAGGAGTGAAAACAGATGAGGAATGCATTAACACAGAAGCGGTACACAGTAGAGTAATGCAGGTGCATTCTTTCACAAATCATGTACATAATGATGCAGACATGCACTTGTGATAAAATTGTCCAGGCCTTTTAGCTACCCTTCTATATACTCCCATGTGTAGTATGGGAAGAGGGAGGCCTGAGGATGTAATGAGAGGCAGCTAGAATTTAAAAATAGCCTGCTACATTCTTCAGAGCCACAAGAAGCCAAAATACTTCCAACTGCAATAACCATGTGGCCATCAGTACTTGAGTATTTATACACATGTACCTTCTTTGCTATTGAGAGGACTCTCTGGATATTCTGCTCCTGCTGACTGCAAGAAACGATGACAACTGAATAATAGGGACAGTGTACACCCTTATATTGCCTTGTGTGCCTTTATGCTGTAAATTGAGGTTCCATTTGTAGAGTCTAGTATTGCTGAATGTGTTTCACCAACCAACCATTGACCAGACTAATGCATTAGCTAAGTGAAAATAATTACATGGAGGAAGGGAGAAGCACTAGGGAAGAGGCTACACTCTGGCCATCATAGCTATGTACTTTTATAGTACCAACATACATACATACCTCAGCTGCAGTCAATCCCGTGGAGACCTCTTCCTTGTGGTAGTAACTGTTTACCTGAAATAGTATAGAGAAACCACGTACATATAATGCACAGATTTCCCAGTTCAAGGGATGGGTAGCTTATTTTGTGAATTCAAGCAAAAATTCTCAGCCAAACGGGATTATATTATACTGCAGCATAATATTATATCAAGCAAATTTGTGTGGCATGTGTTAAGTTTAACTGCAGGCTGGTAGACTGAGGGTGTGGGACTCACTATCAAAAGAACGCAGCTTGCATGGTGCGAGTACATACAATGACATACTACATACGCTGCGCACATACTCGAAAGCGTGGTGCACTAACTTACAGCATATCCCAGTGTCGCGTGGTGGAGCGTAGCTGCCTGGCGCTGGAGAGTGCTCCTTAAGAAACTCTCATCTCTCAGCGCATGGAAGCTGAACATTAAGAGAGAAGCATACAGTAGTAGTAGTTGTAGTTTTTTTCTCAAGATGCTCACTTTTTCTGCATGATGGCCAGCTTGGTGCTCCAGACTCTGTTTACCCTCTCCAGCTCCCTCTTCAACCTTAGACAGGATGGATACAAGAACACCAGTAACCTGCAGGCATGCCTCAACCCAATCCCCCACCTGTAGCTAAAGGTCTGCCTCAACTATCTAAACTAGTGGCCAGCAGGCACGCCTCAACCCCACCTGTATAGCTAAAGGTCTGCCACCACTGTCTGCCTCAACTATCTAAACTAGTGGCCAGCAGGCATGCCTCAACTATCTAAACAAGCAGCCAGCAGGCATGCCTCAACCCCACCTGTATAGCTAAAGGTCTATGGGGTGGTATTCGTGTCAGTATTCAAACGTTGATTTTGCCGAGGCATTTCCGTTTTGCCGCGGCAATTGCCCCGGCAAAACCTGGGCCGAAAAATCCGGGACATTTGCCGCGGCAAGAATAACTAGCTGGGCCATGTTCAATCGTGTCAGTATTCTTGTCGTTGCCGGGCCTTCTTGCCTCGGCAAATTGCCATTTGCCGCGGCAATAGACCAGTTTCACAGTGGGCGGAGATAATTGAACGTGACGTCACATCCGGAGTCCCGTTCTGGCTCCAGCAATGTATTGAGAAACTGGAACCGTCCGTACTTAGAGCGGCGCAGCACGTAGCTCTTAGGAACAAGCTAGAGCGTCCGTTCTTTTTCTCACGCATATACTACAGTTACTGCAATATCGCAAAAGTAACTTATAAATAGAGCATACCGTAAGAGCTACGTGCTGCGCCGCTCTAAGTACTGACGGTTCCAGTTTCTCAATACATTGCTGGAGCCAGAACGGGACTCCGGATGTGACGTCACGTTCAATTATCTCCGCCCACTGTGAGTGTGAAACTGGTCTATTGCCGCGGCAAATGGCAATTTGTCGAGGCAAGAGCACTTTTGCCGCGGCAAAAGGCCCGGCAACGACAAGAATACTGACACGATTGAACATGGCCCAGCTAGTTATTCTTGCCGCGGCAAATGTCCCGGATTTTTCGGCCCAGGTTTTGCCGGGGCAATTGCCGCGGCAAAACGGAAATGCCTTGGCAAAATCGACGTTTGAAATACTGACACGAATACCACCCCATAAAGGTCTGCCACCACTGTAGGCCTGCCACCGCTGTAGGCCTCAACTATCTAAACTAGTGGCCAGCAGGCATGCCTCAACTATCTACACAAGCAGCCAGCAGGCGCCTCAACAAGCAGCCAGCAGGCATGCCTGGCCCCACCTGGCCCCACCTGTAGCTAAAGGTCTGCCACCTGATTCTTTGTGCAACTTTATAAGATTTGAAGGCCTCACAATATGTGGGTGTGTCCACGTGCAACAATGACACTGTACATTGGGAACAACATTGTTGCTATTCCTATAGTATAACTAGAGGGATGCAACACATTGTTGGCAAGCTCCCTCAAGCAGTGCAAGCAGTTCAATATTTCGCTTGTGTTTTGAGCGTATTTAGAATCATCTAGAACATTAAGATAGTGACAGCGCCCGACCGATATTAACAAATTGTATACAGAAAATTTAAACGACCAGGTGGGCTCGCTTCACTAGCCAATTATACATAACATATTGTATAATTGTGGTGTCTCCTTAAATAAGCAGAAATTGATGTATAACATATTAGCGCCTAGTATTATAAATTCTTATGCACTTATGGAGGCTCTGTGCATTATTGTAAATGGCGCCCAAAGGGACAATCTCATGCAGCAAAGTTGCATCACAGATGGTGGCTTTTACCTGTCAATCTGTTCTCTGTGTCTGGTGTCTGCCAGTTGGAGTCTGGCCAACTCGGCTTCCAGTTCTCCCTCTCCTCTCATCTGCTCATGAGGAGGCTGAGCGACCGACTGCTGTGACAGTAGCTCCTGTTCCCTCAGTTGACTTCTCTCCCTCTCCAGCTCCATGGCTGCTTTGCTCTGCAACTTCACCCGCTCTGCTTCATGCTCTGCCTCAAGGGCTGCCTAAAGTAAAAGCGTAGATTAATATACCAAGAGTGAAAGTTAAACCTAGAAATTGTCTCGAGAAGATCGAACAATTAGTGAGCTAAATGGGCGAATGCATCCGTAGCTATTCATCATTGGCCTACTCGTTGCGTAGCATGAAATTAGTTTCGGTGACTAACAAATATGTATGCATACTGTATGCACAGTACAGCTATACCTCTTTTTGAGATTTCTCCATCTTCTCTTTCATCTCTTTCTCCAGAGCAGCTCTCTGGCTCTCTGCCTAGAGGGGCATCACATTGTAATTATCGGAGGGTCGGTAGACACTCTATGTAGGGATGAAACAAGTCAAATCTCACGTGATCCACACACAAAAAGTCAGCGAAAACGACTCACTAAACCTTTCAAACACACTAGCATCTTTGTTCCACAGCGAAGTTGGGTTGTTGGAACTTGTTCCATGCCGGTATAATTATATATACTCTACTGGTAGTCGATGTACAACCAATTCTGCGTTATGCTCATAGCTGGTTTGCATAGGGAGGAAAAAGAAGAGGAACAAGAAGATGCCTACAACAAGACAGAAAGTCATTCATAAACCCATCCCTACATCTTTGTTAGGTTCATGTAGACATTACACCGTCATCGACATTTTTAGGGATGGGGTTATGACGACTTTCTGTCTCAGACATGAAGCCATCTTCTTTTTATTTTCATGATGTGACTGTACATCCCTTTTCATTTCAGTGAAATGATTTTCCACTTCTATTATAATTATAATTATACCACCACTTCAAAGATATAATCGGTAAGTACGATATTATAGGGATGGGCATTATATTAATGTACATATATACTGTATGTAGAGGCACAGGTGAATGTTTACCAGTCTGGCTGACTTTTCTTGCTCTGCCTTGGTCTTCCTCTTCAGTCCTTCCATATCCCGCTTGAGCTGAGCCACTTTACCTCTCTCTGTCTCCAGCTCTTTCTTGGTACTGTTGAGTAGGTGGGCTGCATAATAATTAGTGTAAGTACAAAAATGAGGAGAGATGAGTAGGAAGGAATTGTCCACTAAAAGTCTATTCCCACAGGGCCTATTGCTATATAAACTGTCATTCCACCTGAGATATATACACTCAGCTTAGCCTAACCGCCAGATAAGAAAGCCAGGACTCCCAGCTGGCCTCCTGCTGGCCTGTCTCTGCATTACAACTTTGGTTGACATCAATAAGCCCAATAATTTGGATGAGGCTATATACTTTCTTCATAATAATAATTATTGCTGGTAGGAAAGTGAAAGCACAGTACAGCTCCCTCCTTTCATACAGGCTGGTTGCTTTGGGATGTCAACCAATATGTACTAATTAAAGTACCGGCAGTACTCTATGGAAATTATTGGGCGTGGAAACTTCAAAAAGGTCATGCAGCACGTGCAGCACGAATGCTACATGAGCTTAGAGAACTTTGTAGTAGTACTTTTTCCTTTGATGTTGTAAGGCTTCAGACTACAATGCACCCTGGGTGTGGGTGGCACAATCTTATACTTACTCAATTTCTTCTCAGAGTCTTCCTTAGCTGCTAGCTGAGCCGAGGTGTTGCTGAGTTGGGTCTGCAGTGAGGCAATCGCTGTCCTCATCTCCTCCGCCTCTTCCAGAGAGATTCCAGGAATGGGGGACGGCTCCTCCTGAAAGGGGAAAGCAGACCACTGGGTTCACTGTGGCCTAGGAAGAAAGAGCTGCCCTGGGTTGGATTCAAACCCACAACACTCTGCAGTCTAGACAGAGGATTGTACGGGCTGAGCTACAAGAGAAGCTCGGCAGATAAGGGCTCAAATCTACAACACACAACAACTATAGCTATACCACAAATAACTGTGTTATGGCACACTACAGTATATACAAGCGGACTGGAAATTGTATGAGTGAAAAGTAGTACATATGGACCTCTAGTTCCTGGGCTTTGAGTTCATCCAGTTGAGCTGTGAGCTCCTCCATCCTCAGTGTCTGTATCTCCATCATTCTATCCTGCTCCATCAATCTGCGACGTGTGTGTGTGTGTGTGCATTGTACACGTAGCTAGGAACAGTCCGTATTTTATCCACAAAGGTTATGTGAATCTAACCCCCACAGTGGCTCTCAGATGTTGTACATTTTCGCACCATTGTCAGGCTTGGGTATATTATTCTGCCTATTTTTATATGCACAGAGGTTTTATACCCAAATGCTCAAAATTATGTCACCAATTAATCGGCCACTATCTATTGTTGAATCACTACCCTACTACAGACTAGCAGTTGTGTCTGTGTATATATAAAAGCAAGCTACATTGAGTGGAGCAATTACACAAGCCAGCATAACAATTTAGGCATTGGGAAGCTTTAAACCAGATAGGAGCTATCAGGAGGCTCACAATTACAGAATACACCCACCAATTATGAAGCAGACATTTGTACATCAGCTACTAGACCAAAGTTATTTAATCATGTACACAATGCTTGCAATTTTAGGAGCTATCAGGAGGCTCACAATTACACAGAATACGCACACCAATTATGAAGCAGACGTTTGTACATCTGCTACTAGACCAAAGTTATTTAATCATGTACACAATGCTTGAGGGAGGAGGGTCAGTGGCCAGTGGTGATCTATTGCGCTTCAATGCATGCAAATATGCTCTTCATTTTTGTGGGTAATGTCTCACTTTTCTTTCAGTTCTTTGATCCTGATATCATGTCTTCCTGACTTTCCTGACAGCAGTTCATCATAGTATGCCTACATTAAACGCTCTATTTACACAACCATTTTTACACATGGAAATACTGTACCTTGTACTCCCCTGCAATCTTCTGAATTGCATTAACCAACTGCTGTCGATAACTTCCACGAATAGTGTCCAATTTCTATGTGCAAAATGTATTGGTTATATCACTGGTGAGCAGGAGCAGGCCAATCCTTACATTGTTCTACTGTAGCAAACACCCTGTGTGCACTATAATAACTCTGTGGGTTTACCTCTTTTTGCTGCCTTTCAAGTTCCTTCACCTTCTTATTCACTCTGCAGTACCTGGAGCAAAGGAAGCCTGTACTCTACCTTTCATCATAAACAAGTTTTCATTTTGAATGCTATGTTCTGCTCTATTATTACCGCCACCATAGCAGTCACTCACAGTTCAGTTGCCCTGTGGTTGAGTTTGTTCTCATAGTCTGCTTGCAAAACATGCTGGGCAAATTTTAGTTCTTTTCTCAACTGACCAACTTCCTGCAATTACAATTGAAAGTCCTCTATTATGCATGCAGCAACAGTGTGTGCACTAAGTTCTGTTGCCATTACATGCAGGACTTGCTCAATGGCTCTGGTGACCTCTTTGACCTCCACTATCTGTGTGTCTTCTGTCTGAGTGGTTCCATCTGTTGCAAAAAACCTTTTCATCTTGTGCTCCATTAGGCTAGGCTCCCTGCAGTATATATGATTCAGTGGTCAGAAAATTGCGCTTCCTTCTATAAATTATTACACACGTCCGCAGTTGATGTGTTCACCCACCAGTGAATATCAGTGCATCGTGCAAATAGGAAATCCCTGTCTGCGGTAGCTACTACACTTGAATTTACAGGACAACAAGAAAATTGTAAGGTGTCCGCGGTAGCTACCACTCTCACAGCCGACGGTCATTGGTGAAACTACATAGCTAGCTAGCTATTGAGGATCCACATATTGAAATGTGCACTATAGCTAGTCCATCTTGAGCTACACGGGCTGGCTCTGCAACCTACCGAATGGCTCTCACTTCCACTGTTGTTCCGATGTCGAGGTCGATGTAAGGAATCTTTGGCTTGGGGAGATTAGGGAGGTGCTCGAACGGCAGCAAGCTGGCCTTCCGAAACGGCTGCAGAGCCCCAGACATACCCACGGCCCCGCCAGCCTTGGGGACCCGTTCCTCCATACCACAGTAGGTGGCTGTAGCCGAGTCCCGATATATAGATATCTTATTTCCACCGCTTTAGTTTCAGTTCGGATGCTAACGTGTGCGTCTTCTCCGGACCCGACGTAACTACGGCGTTGATGCGCGGTTGCCTAGGCGCGACGAGGATAAACTAATGGTTGCTTAGCAATGCTGCCGTAAACAGATAAACACCTGCATAATTTGCCTCGGGCGAAAGCTACCGCTCTTCCGAAAGTGTAGCAAGAAGCGCCTACAAGGAGGCTGAGGACTCTGAGAAACCGATCAGTTGCGGCCACCATGCAATCCTGAGAAGCCTCTTGCAAAGCTGAGCGAAAGATGCAGCAAATATCTGTGATAGTCCGGACTCTGGTAGCGATATTCATACTTCTGGACAAATCAGAAGGTACTTACTGCTACCAATACAAAAAGCGTCCGACTGGTAGAATAAGCTGTTTAGTGGCTGGCTGATTCCAACATGAGTAGCTAGAGCCAGAGAGGTGTATATAGAGAGAGACGCTACGGGCGAGACACGGGGGCGTTGCACGAGCCCCGCCCTCCTTTTCTGAACTGCACGCGCAACGCGGGAGACCAGTCTCAAAGACCTCTCGCCCGTGCAGGTGCTGCCGACTTTTCGTTCGAGATAGTGGGTCGTCCGGGAGCAGTGAGGCCCATCCCGGGAGAGACTGTCCGGTTCACTTGCTCCGTGGAGTCATCCTTGGGGTTGAGTTGGAGCAGCAACATTTTCACCAACGTACGTAAACAGTGGATCGCTTCTGTGTGTCGTTGGTTCGCGTTCCGTATAGGGCAGTTTTCTTTGAAGAAACTATTTAAAGCTACCGAAAAGGGTCAACGCGCGCGAATTTCGCGGTCCACGCTTCCGCGGATGGTTCCTTTTACCCCCAGACGGAAATGAAGGGAGCGAGTAATTTGATATTATCTTCTCTGTAGGAGCTCCGTTTTTTCACTGTGGATGACGTTGGTGACCAGCAGTCTGACGAGGGAACAAATGCTGTTGCATATCTGACTGAGAAGGGCGGAGGAAACTTTAGTTCTGTCCTGAACATTTCATCATTGGAGGCCAGCATACACAACAACACTCTCGTAGAGTGTAGTGGTTACAATGAAGGGAGCTCGAGCAACTTCACAATCGTCATGGCAGGTTAGGACTGAAACATTTAGTATCTAATCATAATGTTGCACAGAGAGTATTGTTTACTGGGTCAACTTTGTCGCATTGCCCTGTCGCACTGTGATGCGTCGCATTCTGCCGCAAAGATAGATATCCTCGCGACGCAGCAAAGCGGCAAGGAGCAACGGAGCAATGCGACATAATGTGAACCTAGCCTAAGTGGGTAGACCATTGCCTTTTAAACATTTTACCAACGCTTTACGTGTGTCTTTCTGTCTCCTGATTCCTCCCAGGCATACCATCACCACCAGTTGATCCTGAGCACTCCAACAACACCTGCTTGTGTGCCAACATATCCTGGGCCCCTCCGAAATTTGACGGAGCTGCTCCTATCACACACTTCACCATCACTCTCACTCTCCCCGCACACACCCTCCCCAATTCTTCCGTGTCAGTCAATCGTTTTGAGATTGCTGACGTGAATGCAACGCAGATCGACATGTGCGACTTGCGCCCAAACGCAGTCTACAACACGACCATAACGTCCCACAATGCAGTTGGCACCAGCCGAGCTGAAGAGTTTGTGACCTTCATCATTGCTACTGGTACATACTTCTCCTTCACTTAATTCAGAACCTCTGAGTCTCACAACTGACATTTGTGACAGTACATATGGCTTAAGCAATAGGAACAATTAGTAATAGTGCCATATTACCTTTGATGGGAGATATCCACACACCAGGAGAAATGGAAAGGAAATTGCATGATCATTAAAATGTTTTCCACGGTGTATATTGTACTCTTTGTGCTAGTTTATACACAGAATATGTGTGCAACCATTCAAGACCGCAATTTTGTGTTTCCCTCTTTGCAGAGCCATACCCAGCTCTGAACCTGGTGGCCAGGCCAGTCTGCGCCAATCACAGACGCTGTCTCTTTAACGACTCGGACCACCTCCTGGTGACCTGGGAGCTCCCCAAACTCAACTCACTCCTTCTCTGTCCTGTGGAGCAAACATGGCTCAACTACTCCTTCCTCGAGCTGGAAGTTCACATGCAGTCGTTCCAGATCACGGCCCCATATATTGGCGTGACGGACACATCGTTTGAGATTAGACCAGTGACGCCTGGAACTACCTACAATGTTACTGTGACCTTTGTAAATGAAGTTGGGGAGTCAACAGACATTACAGTTGGTATGTGAAAGTGTCTGGAGAGAAATAAAATGTGCATGCAAACTGTGATTATATCACATAATAGTATTATCTACCTCAAGATTTATCTGAAGGAACTGTATACAATGGAATCAGTAAACAAAATCGATAAAAATCTGATTCCACCCGGGATCGAACCGGGACCTTGCGTGTGTTAGACTCACGTGATAACCGCTACACCATGGAATCAGTTGCTGGAATCGCTTGCGTGTTCTTTTTCCAGATGTACATAGCAATGTGCCTGTTGTTCCAGGGACATTCCCTTTGTTACTTGATACTAAAGTCACAGTTGTAGACATAATAACTGTGGTACAGTTCTTGCTCACCAACAATAAATGTAGGACAGTGATCTATGTATTATGCTGTGACTTGTATATTCATTTTCATTCATGCAGCAATTGCAGACGTTCTGCTGTTCCAAAACTACTTGTTCCAGAAGCGATCCGAGCCATTTTCTCTTTCTGAAGGGAGGCGGGCAGAAGTCTACACTGTCAGACTTGATGGACCTCCATCAAATGAAGTGGCAATAACTGTCAATCCTGCCGACGACTTCCTAAGGTTTATTTTGTTCTCTTCTTGTATTGGTACTGAAGCAGTACAATGTCGTGTAATAATACACGTGTATATATGGCCCAAGAGAGAATCATCATACCTAGTAATCCATATGTGTAGCCGTGAATTACCTAATGGGCAGGAAAATGTGTTCCCATTTAATGCGCATTCGCCACATTACGTACATGTATGCTGTTATAATTATGGCAAAATACATAATATCACCCACTATAAGGTAAAATGTTCGAGTGTGTTACACTGATTTAAATGTAGGTATTATTATAGCAAAAGGAATATTTTAATTCCTTTTACAGTGTTGAGCATCCAGTCATGTTCGAGTACCTTGTATTCAACGCCGACAACTGGTTTGTGGCTCAAGATATTCTTGTGAGTGCCATCGACGATGACGTAATCCTGGAGTCACCATATGGCTCGCTCCTGAGGGTTGTTGACCTGGAAATGACTGAGGTGAACCTTACGCTGCTGGTCAGCGAGACGGATGTAGGTGAGTCACTCCATCATTTGTCATAAAGATGCCATACAGTATAAGCTCGGCTGATTGCTTTAGCCAGAATTGTGTATACATTAGAACCCCTATAATCTGGACACTTATGGGACAAAAGAGGTGTTCATCATGCGTACAAGAAAAGGTATCCTTAGATACATAGTTGTCACCATTTCAGGGATTTGTTGACAGGCCCACCTAGTCATCTGAATTGCGTGTGATTTTTCTATTGTAACTATTGGGTAGGCACTATCCTCAATACAGTCATCCTTTACGTAAATATGTGAAAATCCGCCAGAATTTCGCACTCACGTCAGCTCGCCTAAAATAATGCATTGGTTACTGATATGCTCTGTCAATGCAGTTGATGTTTTGATCATTCCGAGGGAGATGTACCCATCATTTCGACACATCCCCGAGGGCCGATGGTCGGTGTTCAACGTCACCCTTCCCAGCCAGCCATACTACAACGTCACCATAACCTTTCACCCTCTCAACCCCACTATATATCTCTCTCATGTGGAGATGATCTTCCAACCTTCAAACTGGAATGTCTCCCAGATACTGACAGTTTTTGCAACCGAAGATGACATAAATGCCATCCTCTCTCCGTATTCGGCGAGTTTCAATTTGAGTCTTACCAGTAGGGATTACAACTACGACGGAGCTGATATTGACGATTATGAAGTAACTGTTGAAGACAATGATGATGGTAAGCAGGTAAACTACCTTCCATATCCGCTGCGTGTTTTCTGTATGTTTTGCTCCTTGCTGCTATCTATAGCAATGTATGTGTGCTTCATGCTTGTGTGGAATAGGTGCTCTGTTTAGTTCTTTTTCCATCAGTGTGCAAGAGATCAGTACGTGTGTTTCTCTTGCAGACTCAGCAGTTTTGGCGGGAACTCTGACGTGGGTCAAACTTGACAGTGGAAACCGGACGACGGCGCAGTTCAGCCTAGCTCTCTCCCTCTCCCACTCGCAGTACCCGTCCTCCGAGGTCGGCGACAGGGTGTACGTGACCGGCTCTGTGGTGGAGTACGGAGATGGAGAGACTACTGGAGACGGCCCGTTGGCCATGGAGGTAATGCTGGAATCCTAGGATTTACCCTACACTATCGTCCATGTAGACCTCTCTTAAACAGCGCAATGTATTCGTAGTTTCCATGGTAGTATTGTTGTCGGTGTCACTCCTAACACAGGATTATTAACACGTAGCTACATGGTTGTTTATTTGTTGCCACATGACATCATGCATGAATATTACACGGCAATGCCAGCTAGTTGTGCAATTTCACGTAAGGACTGTGCTGCAAGTAAATTAAGCTCCTTAACGTCCAGGAAATTGATATATAATTATGAATGCACCCAAAAGCTAATCTTTCCTCGTGTGTGTAATGTACCCTTCACCCCTTCCCCTTACCATCTCTTATGTCACGGTACACCCATTTCTGTATCGCACCCATGTACAGTAATGTTCATTCCCTGATGCGTATAGGTGGTATCTGTGAATACTGGAGAGGACTACATACTTGCCACCACACGTCTGCTGCACACTTACCCTACCACTTCATCCCATGGTCAGCCGTGGGAGGCTGTCTTCCGCTACTGCTGCAGAGCACAGGACATACGAAATAATCCTGACACTTGGTGAGCTTTGTACTAATAACAATTAGGGCATTACTTTCGTAAAACATTGTGCACTTTGTTGAGGGTTAATTATTACCCCTTGGCGCGCATGCACAGCGAGGGTTACAGTACTTGGTCTGTGTGTCTGTCTGTCTGTTACCACGTTTTCTGCCACCACGTGCAACAAACCGGCCAAAAAGCGACACTAACAGGTTCAGCGCTACACTAGATAGATTTTTAAATGGCGATTGTTGTAGAAGTACACATGTGCATTTACATATATACATACATGTACATGTATACATATACACATGTGCATACGTACATACACATGTACATATGTACATGTGTATGTACGTATGTATGTATGTATGCATGTACACACGCATCTATGTACGTACGCATGTATGTACATATGTACGATTGTTGTATAATGCACATGTGTATATGTATGTATGTATGCATGTATAAGTCGATTGTTGTATAATGCATGTATGTATGTATGTAAATGTACATGTGTACTTTTACAACAATCGTACATACGTGTGCATACACATATCTACGTACATGTGTGTTTAACAGGATTGTGTTGAGCGTCGGAGTGGACCTGACGTATGCCTCGTCTCCTCTCATTCCTTCACTTCCACCTGTCACTCTTTACATGTCACAGGTAACAAGTATAATATAACACGGGGTCTACATGTATGTAATCATTATCATCAAACATTGTCCAGGGGACACAAGGGTTCTTCTTCACCAGTACACACCCCAACTTCCATCCCCTTGTTTTCTCACTGGGAACTATGTTTGACTACATGTCTTCACAAGCCGGCACACCACAGGTAACACGTCCTTATGATTGCTTTATCTACATTTAGTTTGTCTAAAAAAATTTGCTGTTTCTTTTTTTAGACATTGCGGATATCACACAGTACAGGTCATGTGACATGTGATACTGATCACATGACCCCAGGGGACTACAGTGTCATGATAGCAGTAGAGGACACGATATCAGGAATCAGGGTGAGGGAAGAGTAGTCTCAAAAGAAAGTGGTCCCAGTGACATTCTTACAAACATTATTACATGGTTTGCGCATGCCGCACTCTAAAATAGTTACACGAAAAACGACGCGATTAAGGAAGCCTTGGGCCCTGTAGTCGCTGCATTCGGAATTCCGCAGCCTCAGGGCCTGGACCTCCTATAACTACCGTAGATGCCACGGACCCAAGGCCTCAGTCTCTTAAATCCATGTAATGATCCCAGGGCCTCGCCTCCTACATCTGCCGTAGCTTGCCATGGACGGCCCCAGGGTCTTCTTGGTCTCCTAAATCTATGTAGATGGTCCCATGGGCTCGGCCTCCTAAATGAAAGGGTTCCTAATTCTTCACAGGTTGTATCTGAGATAAGACTCAAAGTGAAGCTGCCAGTGCCTGACGATGTTCCTCCAGCCATCCTCACACCTCACCCTATCCTTCCTCCTCCCCCTCTCGTCTTCTCCCAAACAACCACCAATCACACCCTCCTAGTCCGTGATGAAGACACCATAATGGCGGTCGAAGTACATGTCCTATCAAATCTCCCTGAAGGAGCTGAACTCTCTCATTTCAAGATTAGAGGAGATAAAACAGGTGTGTAACATTTCACGTAACCTCATAACTTGCATGGCCTGTATGACACAATACAGGGGGAGTTTAACCCATTCCACTTTTTCAGGGGTATAAGCTAGGGTTTGTGAATCCTAAGAGTGTTCCAACCAAGTCTCATTGCAAAACGTGTTACCTGTATACACCACAATAAAACCCTTGCCAGAATTTGAGGGGAAGCGGGTGTGTAATAAAATGGCCTAAACGGATTTATCTCACACCTCCGCGCATGTAAGTGCATGTGAGTGACATATACATAGGGCCATTTACAGACCCTTGCTGAGAAATCAGTGAAAAATAATATTCCATGTTCAGGGGAAGTTTCGCTGTCATGGATACCATCTGAAGAGCAGATTGGAGTGTATATAGCATGTTTCGTTGCCATGGATATGTATTCAACTTCCTCCACCCCATACTGTGTATCAGTTATCGCCACGTCAGATGACAAAGAGGTATATATGTACTAGTGAGCCATTTTGTATACTTCGTACACACTCACGTGTGAATCTCTTAGTAACTCACATCGTGTTTACTAAGTGCTTGTGGCACCATTTCTCCACGCAACCCGCGGATGCGTAAAAACAAGTGCACAACAATTGGAGTACGTAGTTACGTAGGTATCTCGTCTGTTGAAATATCAGAGCGCCGCAACGCAAGGGCCTTCGGGCTTTTAACGCACGTACAGATTTCACAGCCTCCATGTCTAACTATTACATGTTTGGTCACTCGTGATGTCATTAGGTACGGGAGGTCATATTTGTCATGTGCATTTATCCCTTATTTCTGATGAAGGATAACGTAATATCAGTGGCATAAGAGCCATTCGTATTCCACCGTCCGTAAAAATTCGAGGCCCTCTTGCAAAACCAAGTCATTCTCCAAATTTATGTCTTTTGCACTGCAAAAGTGAGCGCGTAGCACCGCTGAATCCAAATCACGCATATTCTCGTGGTGATGCACAAAACAGCGCATGCATATGGAAAGATTATACTACTGAGCTATGACTAATTCAATACCCGAATAATGCTGGCATATATAAGTGAGGGTTTTTTCCTGTACACAGTTTCCAATTGTGGACTCAAATGGTCCTCTTGCCAATGGTTTGACGTTCACCCAGTCGTACGTCAAAGGAGTAAACGAAACCGTCCCTCTAGTTTCAGGCGATGCCACCATTTCTACACCTTCTTATGGCATTCACTACATGTCTATTGCTCTTGCTAACTCTCCTGACGGTTCCAACGAGAAAATAGTATTCTCGGATTACTTCGAACCGTCCGTCTCTTACCAGTACACCAAACCACCATCTAATGACTATTCCAGTGTATTGGTTATCAAAGGTACAGCTACACCTACCATATACAGTGAGATTCTCAGGAATCTTAGGTATGTCAATAACAAGGGCAGGCCAACCGTTGGCGAGAGGGTCCTTTACTTGGTGGTATCCGATGGTGATACTGCAAATGACTACACTGTTTCCTACACTACCATTGATGTTTCAATCGACAACATTGCCCCTGTTCTGAGTGCGAGTGGTACAGATGAAGCATTTGAGGGGCTATTCTTACCTTTTGAGGGCCCTGTGCCAGTTATAAATCCGCTAGATGCCTACGTCATTGACACCGACAGTGAAGGTATAGAAGGTGCTACTCTTGAGCTTGGAAATGTTCAAGATGGGGAAGATGAAGTCCTCAGTACCACATACAAATCGCCTGAGAGGTTGAGTCTACCTATCATTGCAGAGGCAGTGGACCTGGATATACCGTTTGGTATCCTCTGGGATGGAGAAGAAGCCCCTGCAATTAGTAGCATAATTACTGTCAGTGAAGACTCTTCAGCTGTAGTTGGTGAAGTTAATGTAGTGGTTGATGTGCGACACTCGTGGGTTGGGGACCTGAGCATTGAGCTGGAGCACAACTCTCTCAGGAAACAGCTGGTTTTGAATCCCGGCGGCCAGACTTGCCAAAAGGACGATCTCTTTCTTACAACCTTCAGCAGCTACTTTAACTCCCAGACTGACCCGCCCTCCCTGTCGAGGACAGCTGGTTCCCCGGGTGTTTGTGTCCTGCGATCTCAAGGAGTGTTTACAACTGACGGAGACATCCAGTTCTTCCACGGGATGTCAATCGGTGGAGAGTGGGTGCTTCATGTAAAGGATAATGTCCTCGATGAATATAGCGGTCGTTTAGCTGGCTGGAGTCTTATAATACAGCCCCTAGAGACTCATCTAGTTGAAAGCTACCCTCCAGTACTCCCTCCACTGAGTGTTAGTGGAGAGAGTGGATATGAGGAAAGACATGTAAAGAAAGTGACTAGCGACGGCCGAATTGCTGCAATGGCAGTTCACGTGCACTTGGGGGTGCCGCACACAGCAGAGTTTGCTTTCTTACCATCGCTGGTATTGGTACACCCAGATGGCACAGAGGTAACCCTGGCACATGGAATTGACAACTTGTGTGCTAGGGGCAATTACACTCACCTAATTTTTGATGACAGAGCACGGTCAACTGATTATAGCTGTTATTCACTGCTTCAGCCCCAAACTAGTGGATCGGGATTCTCAGGCTCATCATCTGGCCGTTATTTGGTGCCCGGGAGTGGAGCAGAAGTAGGTTACAACGCTTTCGCTGGATCTGCTTCAGGAACTAGATCAGGGTCCGGAGTTGATTCTGGTGGTTCTGGCATTGGCTCTGGCTCGGGATGGATCCTCTACCCCGAGAACACAGTCACGTTTGGCGAAGCAGTTGTGAACATAACCACTTTTCCCACAAAGTGGTCAATGGTGGACCTACTAACACCAACCACCCCTCTCCATGTCCTTAGAGGAAAGCGGCTCCAAGGTGAGTGGAGCCTTGCGCTCTCCAGCCAGCACTCGCTAAAGTCGACACTATTTGACTGGTCCCTGAGGATAGCTCGTGAACCAAACATTGATGCCACCTATGATGCATCGGAGAATATTCTGACTCTATCGGGGTTAGATTCACCAAGCAACTACCAGAGTGTTCTGAGAAGTATTGTGTATGAGAATAAAGCAACAGACTATGAGTTTTTGACTCCAAGAACAGTTACAACCACAGTTTTTGATGGTGAGTTGTATTCAGATTCAACAACCAATGCTACGAAGTCTTATGTTACCCTGCATCATATTGTATTGGATCTTGACCCCGCTGATCTCTCCAATGCCAGTACACCAGACTTTTCTATTAGGTTCATAGAGCACAGTAGCTCAATTGCCATTTTGGACCAACAGAGGGCCATCCTAACTGATCCAACCTTCTCTGAAGGCTTGTATACGCTCACTATCACACTAACTGGCTATCAAAACCACAATGAAGAAAATCTAACAGTTGATATGTCAGTGTCCCCTGAGCTACGGGCACAGTACGCCAACAACATACCCAACAATGAATTCACAGTGACCATCACACCCATCAACTCAACCTTGCTGCCAATTGAACTTTTCGAGGCTGTTATGAGAACAGTGGAGTACCACAACTATGCCGAGGAGTTTTTAGGCTCCACTCGCTCAGTGGAATTTGTCGCCACTGATGCTGCAGGTGGCAGTCGGTTCACTAGTAGGGTTGCGACTGCTTACATTACCCTAAGTCCCACCAATGATTTCGCTGTGCTCCAACTGAATGCATACCAGTATGGTCCCGGTAGCGTGTTCTCAAACGTTGTTGAATACAAAGAAGCGGAAGGGGCAGTGTTGCTAGCCAATGCCAGTTCTGTAGTGCTCACTGACAATGATCACACCACATTAGAACGTGTTACGGTCACTATCCAAAATGCCCAAGACGGCGAAATGGAAATCTTGTTTGCAAATACGGAAGGATTCAATGTGGTTGCCCAATACAATAGAACAACAAATGTCCTTGTGCTTAGTGGAAGAGATGCGCTGGAGAACTATGCACAAGTTATTGGTACTGTCACGTACAACAATACATTTCACAGCCCTGGCCAGCCAGGTACTGATCCAAGGTTCATTTCCTTCGTACCGTATGATGGTACACATGAGGGCTATGCAGTCACTGCTCTGGTCACCTTCTCAGCTGTTAATGACGCACCATTCGGCGATCTCAACGGACCTGCAAGAGGTATCAACTTCTCGACTTTGTTCACAGAAGAGAGAGGACCGGCAAATATTGCCAGCTCCAACCTCACACTCTTTGACATAGACAATACCACCCTCTCGTTTATTACAGTCCGCATCACCAACAACATTGACAGTCATCTTGAGACACTTTCTGTGATGGATGTTTTAGAGGAGACGGACCCCGATGAAAAAGTGGTAGTGTTGACATTTTTACGTCCGGAAACATCGTATGACTATTCATCTGCCACTCTTACCATCTCTGGCCTTGACTCAGTTAGGGAGTACCAAGAGGTTCTGAGCACTCTTGCCTATAACAACACAGCAGACGAGCCAAATCCGGCCACTAGGGTCATTGAAGTCATTATGAGTGATGGAAGAACTGAGAGCAATCCCCTATATATTCACGTCGAGATTGAGCTGGTGAACGATTCACCGTATTTCGATCTCACTCAACCAGCTTTCGGACCTGAAATCCTAGAAGATGTACCCGTTGAAGAGAATGGTGGTACTCCTGTATCGGAAATTGCGTATCTGATTGTGGACGACGATGTGGGGGCACAGAAAGGTGTGGCAATTGTCCAGCTGGACACTCGAAATGGCGAGTGGGAATTCACGCTGAACAGTGGGGATACTTGGACAAGCATGCACTCAGTGAACCGAACCTCGGCACTGGTACTTGAAGCTCTCATGGAGCAGAGGGTGAGATTCATTCCAAATCAAGACTTCAATGGAGATGTTGGTATCGCTATCGTTGCTTGGGATAAAACCAACGAAGGGATAAGTGCGGGTACTTTCATTGATGCAACGTCACAGTCCAGTACAGACCCATTCAGTGACGATATGCTGCTCATCAATCTCTTCGTGATCCCAGTTAATGATGCACCGGTCCTCCTTGATTTCCCTCTCAATGCCACTTCCATACTGGAAGATGACTACACCGCAACTGGAGACACAGTTCTCAGTCTGCTCACGTTTGCAAGTGATGTTGACTTCCACGATGAGCTCGGTGTAGCGGTAACGGCGGCTAATCAAGAGAATGGTGTCTGCCAGTACACAACAGATGGTGGAGAGAACTGGGAAATGTTTGGCTCTGTCGGCATTGAATCGGCTCTGTTGCTGCGTAGCTTTCCTGCAGAAGATAACAGAATCCGATTTGTCCCCGACTTAGATTTCAACGGCTATGTTTCCATTGATTTAGTTGCATGGGACCTGACAAGACTGCCTGAGGGCGAAATATTCATGCCAGGGTCGGCTGATGCCTCTGGTAAAATAGCAGTGATGTCATCTTCATCTGGAAGTGGCTCTGGCTTTACTTCAGCCAGTGGCTATGAGATTCCATCAGGTAGTGGCTCTGATTCAGCTTCAGGAAGTGGATACAGAGAAAGTGTGGACTCTTCAGGAATCAATCCTGTTTACCCAAATGTGACTTTGCCAGAACCCTACCCTGTTGGAAGTTACATCAACATCAGCCTCTCTGACGAAGTCACCGGTCCGTTCAGTGTGAATTCAACTTCTCTCACTCTATGGATTGAGCCTGTGAATGACTCGCCAGTTGTAAGTCCAGGAATGACTCTAGACGGCATCATGGAAGATCTGTCGGTGGACATCAATCATGGCACGCAGGTTTCGCGCATCATAAGTGGATACTACAATGATGTGGATGCAAATGCTGATACAGGACTTGCTGTGATTGGGGTGGACAATAGGTTTGGGTTGTGGGAGTATACATGTGATTCTCCCAGTAACCCATCTTCATGGGAAGCTTTCATAGGAGATATCCAGTACAATCAGATTGTACCACCCCTCCCTCTCCAAGAAAAGGCCACTTTACTTCTCTCGACCTGTTGGATCCGCTACCTCCCCTCTGCAAACTTCAATAATGAACTTGATACAGATGGCTATCCCAGACCTGACTCGGATGCACCATACATCCGAGTTCTAGGCTGGGACAACACAGGCAGGACTTTCAATAGATCGGGAACATATGGCAATGATGCTACATACGCTCATGAGGCTATAATCAACGAATACAGCATAAACCCCGAACAGGTGTTTATTACTGTTTTATCTAGAAATGACAAACCTGTCCTTGGTCTGACTAGTTCCACAGTCCCAACTTACTCAGCTGTGTTTCTGGAAGATCGCCATCCTGTTGAAATCACAGGAGAAGGATTGAGCCTCATCGATGTCGATCATGCTCGGCTAAGAGATGTAACTGTTACCATCTACGGCTCTGTCTATGACCAGCTCCCCCAGTCACTGGCTAGCATTGACTTTGGAATCTCTGTGAGTGGGGACTACTCCTCAACATCGAGCAGTGGTAGTTCGTCTGGTAGTGGATTCGGTCAAAGTGGCTCTGCTAGTGGTAGTGCCAGTGGCAGTGGAAATGATAGCTTCAGTTCAGAGAGTGACTATTTAGAAAGTGTGCCGACTTATCCACCCTTTGTTCCGATGGTGACATCCGCTCCCCAGCTCCCTCCTCTTCATCGCATTAGGGAGTACGTTGAGAACCTCTCGAACCCCACAGAGTTGCAGCGCTATTGTGCTGGGCTTCAGCCAAGAAGAGAGGAACTGTTCATCGACGTATCCAAGTGGGATCTAGAGTATAGGATCCTCAGCTGGTGCCCATTTACACTGTACATCTATGCTGACCCCAAGTATGCCAATGATGCTCCAGTGGACCAGTTTAGGCTCGCTCTGGGCACTCTGCGATACAACAATAGTATCGACGAGCCAGAAGGTGGAAACAGGACAATCAGTTTCATCGTCTCGGACAATTTTAACACAAGCGATGTGGTGATTGCCACGGTAACTGTTGTCAATATAGACGATTCACCAATCCTCGACCTGAATGAAAACGTACCCACCTTCAATAACTTTGTTTCCTACAGTGAGGGACAGGGCCCGCTATTGCTAGCCAACGAAAGCATTAGTTTGATGGATCATGACCACCAGTTTCTTCAAGGGGCGCGTATTGTTCTCCAGAATGCACCAGATGAAGATCACGAAGTTCTTGCTGCTGATACTACCAATACCACAATCACTGCTGAATATACCAACTACACTTTGTACCTCAGAGGAAATGCTACGGTTGCTACCTACCGTGACCTTCTAGCAACTGTAACCTACAATAACACATATGCCAATCCTGGAAATCCTGCTGCAATTGAACGGCAAGTTTATTTCTATGTCAGTGATGGTGAGCTTGAGAGTGATCCTGCAGTCGCCTACATATCATTCACAGCCGTCAATAATCGCCCACATCTCTTTGTAGGTGGCCCTCAGAACTATACTGTGACTTTTGTAGAAGAGAAAGGTCCTGTGCTTGTGGTGAATGCTGGAGATCTACTGCTTCATGATGAGGACAATAGCTCTGTTTCTTTCGTTACTACTAGAATTTTGAACAATCAAGACGGTATAGGAGAATACCTCACAGCTGAAAACATCACATATTACGACATACCAGTTCCTGGTGATCCCAACTCTGTTGTTCGTAATTACATTTCTCCGAATATTACGTACAATATAGAAACCGCTGAGCTCTATATAAGTGGATTGGACAGCATTGACGAATACGAACTCATACTGAGGACCATTCAATACAACAACTCTTGTAGATGAACCCATCAGTGACACGAGAATCGTTGAGTTTATTGCAAACGACGGACTGCTAAACAGTGAGCCGGCGTACACAGAAGTGGTCATGGAGCCCGAGAACGATTCACCAAGATTCAACGACAGTGAACTGATTATCAGTGATTTCATACTGGAAGACGATACTGACAATGCCGGAATATCTGTGTTTGAGTTTGCATACTTCCTGATTGAGGATGACGATGTGTACGACGAGAGAGGTATTGCAATAATCGATGTCGATACGGAGAATGGAGCATGGCAGTTTAGAACTGGGGGTATGAGTGAATGGGCTCCAATCAGAGGAAATACAAGCATTACGACGGCCTTGCTTCTGAGAGCCGACATGAACTTTGACAACTTTTTACGCTTTGTTCCAAACCAAGACTTCAACGGCAATGCCAGCCTCACATTCTTGCCATGGGATGCTACTGACAGTATGCCAGATGGTGACACCAGAGTGGCAATATCGCAGTCAGGGCTAGACCCTTTTGGCAAGGAGACAATGGAATTTGTAGTCCAAGTAATTCCGGTCAATGATGCTCCAGTTTTGCATGATCCACCAGTAGAACCCCCCCAAATGACAACAATCCTCGAGGATGATGTGTGGGAAAGAGAGTCGTATGGCGATGATATTTCTCTGTTTCTCTCTGCTCTAAGTGATGATGTTGACATTGACACTCTGTCAGAGGCACACTTTGGGATAGCCATCGTTGGCGTAGACGACACAAACGGACACTGGGAGGTGTCTGTTACAGGTGGGATGAACTGGACAGACATTGAAAGCCCCTCTCTCTCCAGTGCTGTAGTTATGCAGAGTCAACCCGAGGGTGAGAATCGCATTCGATTTGTCCCGAACCGAGATTTCAACGGCGAGTCTTCGTTCCAATACCTCTTGTGGGATTTGAATGTTACCTGGCCAAGTGGGACTCAAGGGGTTGACACTACCATCCAGGACAGAGTCACAGGAACATTCAGTACCACCCACACAACAGCTCACATTACAATTGAGCCTGTAAATGACTCTCCAGTACTCATTGAGAATGGAGGAATCACACTGAGCAGAATCAGAGAAGACACCGACCCGTCCCTCAATTTCGGCACCGCAGTAGAAGTCATCCTGAGAGACCATTTTGAGGATATTGACGGTCTGGCTGTGGGGCTGGCAGTGGTACATGTGGACGAGAGGAATGGAAGGTGGTGGTACACTTGTCAAACAGGCACAAACCTAGAGTGGAACTTGTTCATTGGAGGACGCATCAACTACGAGACCGAAGAGGGTACCGTGTCGCAAATCAGTCCACTGAAACCAAATGAATTTGCGGCAACTCTGCTGGATGGAATTTGTAGCATCCGTTTCCTTCCCAATGAGCACTTTAACACAGAGTATAATTACGACGGTAGCCCACGAGACGTTGACGATACTCCTTACATCACCATTCGTGGGTGGGACCAGACAGAGGGGAGCAAGCATGGACATTACTGTTAACACATCAACAACACCTGATAATCATACTAATGCATTCAGTGCAGAGATATTCAGGGCCACCATTGAAGTGGTGCACAACATTGATGCTCCAGTACTACAGCTGGATGGTACCAATGATAATTACCAGGCAGTGTATGTAGAGCCTGTCCCACCGAATAGGAAAGTGATACCTGTTCCAGTTGTCAACCCCGAAGAACTGAGACTCACTGATCCAGACAATGCTTCACTGTCTTTTGCACTGATAAGTTTCACACCGTTGGACCCTGGAGACGAGAGCCTGCTTGTTGATGTCTCTGGAACAAATCTCATTGCCACAAACACTTCAGACTCCGGTGTATTCTCCATTTCCATATCACCTGCTGGAGATGCCCAATCTGCTCCAATTGAAGACTTCGAGACTGTTTTACAGACTGTACAATATCAGAATGTAGCTGAAGAACCCAATCCTGACGACAGGACTATATTATTCTTTGTAAATGACGGGCTGACTGGTAGTGATCTTAGAACAACGACACTTAGCATTCGACTTGTCAATGACCCTCCAGAACTGGATCTAAACATACAGCTTTCTGGAACGTTCTCTATTGTTGGCTACTCAGAGGGTGAAGGAGCTGCAAGTCTACTAAACCCAGCACTTGTTTCCCTCATAGACTACGACAATAGAACTCTCCTGGACCATGCTTGGGTAAACATCACCAACCCTTACGACATGAGATATGAAATGCTGGCTGTAGGTGCTCCTTCACCAAATATAAATGCTAGTGTTGAAGGTAGCCTGCTCTACCTTAGAGGTCCGGCAACAGTTGAAGAATTTCGAGATGTCATTGCTAGTGTTACGTATGAGAACACTTTCTCTGAACCTGGAGATCCTTCCGGTCTGAACAGAACCATTGCGTTTGTGGTGAATGATGGTTTAGATGACAGCATACCTGCCTTTGTCTATCTACTCTTCACAGTTGTGAATAACGCCCCCTTCCTTGATCTGAATGGAGGACATGATGGTGATAACTACAATACTGTGTTTTACGAAGAGCAAGGACCAGTTTCAGCTGTCTCCCAGAGCCTTACCATACAGGACATTGATAATGCCACCTTAGCATACATTGAAGTTAGGATTGCAAACCCAAGAGATGGAGGGAGCAGGAAAGGCTTTGGGTGGAGGATGTTACGGTGACAATTCCTCCGGAAACTGAGACAAGACACGTCACGTACATCACCTATACCCCAACGCAATACTACAATGAAACAACTTCCACTTTGAGGATCACTGGTCTGGAAACAGTCATGGAGTTTGAATTGATCTTGAAGACATTGAAGTATGATAACTTAGCTGATGAGCCCAACTCAGAGACAAGAGAGCTGTATATCACAGCTTCAGATGGTTTGCTAAAAACAACAGCCATCTCTGTTGTGGAGATCATCAATGTCAATGACTCGCCATTCTTTAATGACTCTGCAACCCTCTTCACTTCTCAAATTGCCGAGGATGTTCACAGTTTCAACAATCCTGGCTGGGCTATAGAGGATATAGTGGGTGGACTGATTCTGGATGATGACGCAGATTCAAAGGAAGGTATTGCAATCATTGCTGCAGACAGCTCCAATGGCCGCTGGGAGATAACATGGGACTATGGTTCTTCTACTTATAGCATGTCTGGAAGTGGAATCTCAAGCAGTGGAGATTTTTCATCTTCAAGTGGCAGTGCAGTACAGGGTTCAGGAAGTGCTGGTGCCAATGGAGGTATAAGTAGTGGGGAAGGAACATCTAATAGTGGCAGTGGACTAGAAAGTGAGGGGGGAGCTATGGGTAGTGGAGAGGGATCACCCAGCGAAGTACAGGATTTTGACCTAACTGTAAATTCCACCGATACCGACTATGTCATTTATGATTCTGGCTCCGGTGTAGACTCAGGCTCTGGAATTGACACAAGTGGTTCCTCATCAGGTTCGAGCATCGGGTCAAGTAATTCAGGTAGTGGCTCTGGATATCTTGGATCTGGATCCGGGTCTGGGTCTGGGCCAATTGGTCCCAAATGTGTCCCTACTGTTCGCCACCAAGTGGTACCTGAGTCTACATTCTCAGCAACTTGGCATTCAATCCCACCTGGTACATCACTCTCAGAGGCAGTTTTGCTGAGTTCAAATGGCCAAAGGAACAGAATCAGGTTTGTACCAAACAGAGATTTTAATGGACAAGTTGATTTCACGTTTGTAGCATGGGATACAACTGACGGTGCTGTTGATGGGGAAACGAGAGAGGCTGTGTCTGTTTCTGCAATTGATTCTTTCAGCTCCGAAGCTGTTGTGCTTGAGATTGTAGTTGACCCAGTGAACGATGCTCCTTTGTTACCTGCTAACTCCACCCTAACACTCTCCTCAATTCTAGAAGACGATTATCAAAGTCCTGGTGATGATGTCAGTACTCTAACTGGGATCATAACTGATGTTGACGTTTTGGACACTTCATTTGGTATAGCTGTTGTTGAAGCCGATGAAGAGAATGGACAGTGGGAAATAAGTACTAATGGTGGAGTATCTTGGACTGCAATAGTCTCAGTTTGTCCTTATAATGCCACAGTACTCAGCTCAGTACCAGGTGGAGAGAATAGGATTCGATTCGTTCCCAACCGTGATTTCAACGGCATTGCAAGCTTTGTCTTCCTGGCCTGGGATTTGACTTCCGACGTTCAATCTGGAGATCTGAGTGTCGATACCACTTCTGCTGACTTGGTCACTGGACCATTCAGTGTCACTTCAGCCACTGCCACTATAATGGTTGAACCTGTCAATGACTCCCCAGTCCTCTCTCCTGGCTCACACTTGCATGCAGTTCCAGAAGATCTTCCAGTCGGTGAAAACATTGGAACTCTAGTATCAGACATTGTGAGAGAGTACTACTATGACGTTGATGTGGGAGCAGAATCAGGTATAGCTGTTGTGGGTGTTGATTTGAGATTCGGAATATGGCAGTACCGGTGTCCAAACTCTGACTGGGAAACTTTCATTGGAAACTTATTGTACGGGATGTATGTAGTACCACCACTTCCTCAAATAGACAGAGCCACAGCACTTAGTGGTGACTGCAGGATACGTTTTCTTCCCAACGAGCACTTCAATACCCTTCGTGATTTTAATGGCTACTTGAGACCCTCATCAGATACTCCATACATTACCATCAGGGCCTGGGATAATACGGGTATGTCAGAGGGTCGTTCAGGTCAATACGGAGTTGATACCACATACAACACTGAGAGCGTAACAAACGAGTTCAGTTCAGAGACGGAATCTGCCATGGTTGAAGTTGTATCGGTCAACGATGTGCCAGTGATTCGGATAGCAGCTGAGGGAGATGGTATTCGTCTGCTGGTAAACTACACTGAAAACCAGCCATTCGTGAGGCTTGTGGAGCCAAATGCTGTCTCTGTGACTGACATTGATCATGTAGAACTTGAGTCAGTAACCATTAGTGTTATCAACACACTTGACGGAGATGCTGAAG